GCATTTTCACAACTTACATGGCATTTTATGGGGTAGCGTTCCCTCTACAGCTGCCAAATAACTCACATGATACAAACTCCAGATATGCATTTACTCTGATTAACAATCAAGGCAAAAAACCACCATGATTTTCTAGCACTTTATGTACAAGTTACTGTAAAGGACCAATTAATTAGAAACTGAATAAAATGTAAAACAAAGGTAAATTGGAGAATGGGAACATCCTCATTTACAAAGACTTAAGTGGGTAAAGCGCTTGCCTTGACTTATGAGGAAGCTAGTCAACAAATAAGACTGCCAAGCAGTAACTTGCGTCTCTGTACCAAGATGCCTTAGCATTTCTCATGGAAAAGATAGTTTACATTAGAAAATAGGAATGGCATTTTAAGGGACAGCATATCTTCATCTAGGTGAAATGTCATGATGAGGTGGCCCAGAGCAGAAAGCACCCTTCTCACTGGACCTGCCCATTCAGGCCAGGAGAGAACTGGGACACCTACACTTCATGTTCTGGGTGGAGCTTACCTATTGTGTACAGATTGGGTATAAGTAGAAGAGTAAGGCCAAGGAAAAAGAACAGGAAAAAAATACTTAGGACAAAAAAACCACCCACTCCCATTTGCATTTTTTTCCTGCTTATCTTTACAATGATTAGAACATATTGAAAAATTATTCAAGATTATCCTTCCTACCTCTGAAATTTAACTTCCTACTTATATTCCATGAAAAGAACACCATAATTGTTCAGTGGCAGGACATAACCTTTCTAAAAAATAAAAATAAAAGCATTTGCTCTAATTTTCACAGAATGACGTGAAAAATTTTCCAACATGAAACCTAGAGTTTACGCTAGTAAAGAAGCATCTTTAATATTCAGGAGAGCTCTTTGGAATGTATCTTATACATATAAAGGTAGCACAAATTAAATCCTCAGAGAGTTCATGAAATAGGCTCTTAAATGGGAAAGACTTCTAGAGAGATAAATGCTTCCATTAGCAAATTAAATGTGATAAATCTTTCCCAACTGACAAAGTCTCTGCTGACAACTCAACATAGCCTCTGAAATCAAATGTAAGGACCAATCATGATTATGCAGGAAGAAGTGCAGATGAGCGGTACACATGAAAAAAATCTGTAACCACTGCAATTCTGAAACAGTAGATTTATATTACAAAGCAATGTAAATAAATATCGGGCTAGTACAAAAGCTCTTATTTACAGTTTTACAAATGAAATTGTATTCAGTGTAAATGTTGTGTTTTAAAGAACACAGTACTGGATTAGTAAAATGAGTTCTGTTGAGGGATTACAGTTTCTGTTAGAATCAATGCATAATGTATAAAAGATTCAAGTTAACTGTTTATAATTCAGTACAGACAAACCCAGTTTTAACCTGGAATGGCATCTGTTAAAGTGCTGAAAAACAGGAAATATTTAGAAAACACTGTACATTATTAAAGCTTTATCAAGTCAGAATGTTAAAACTTCTTTCACATTTTTTATCCTTTTGCCACAGGCTTGTCGAACATGATGATTTTTCTCAGCAAAGGAGTAAAAATTAAGAGGCCACCAGCTGTTTCGATGATTTTAGGTTCAGTGGAATTAGTTTCCTTAAATAATTATCCATCAACCATACCTTCAGGCCTCACAATCTGGTAAGTAATTAAATATTCAGGATAAGCCTAAAAGAGAAAGATTAATTTAAATATTGGTAAACAAAACAAAACAAAAATATATATTTTTAAAGAGACTTACCATAAGGATTCTAAGCTTCAGGGAAGAAGTTCTAACTTAGTACTGTGGATCAGATTCATGTGAGAGCATTTTCTCAAAACACCCCTTCCTTGATTACTATCCCATAGATTCTTCAGGTCTGGAAGGAGTGCTAAGTATGTGTTTGTCTGTTCTTAATGACCTAGATCAGTGGTCGGCAAACTCATTAGTGAACAGAGCCAAATATCAACAGTACAACAATTAAAATTTCTTTTGAGAGCCACATTTTTTAAACTTAAACTTCTTCTAACGCCACTTTTTCAAAATAAACTTGCCCAGGCCATGGTATTTTGTGGAAGAGCCACACTCAAGGGGCCATAGAGCCGCATGTGGCTCATGAGCCGCAGTTAGCCGACCACGGACCTAGATGGTTCTAATACACATCCCCAATTCTAGAGATGCTTTTGACCAGATCTGTGTCACTAAGAGCAAGAGGGAATTACACATTTCTTTGCTATATGCAGATTAACTATGAAATATAGAATTCTACTTAACTGTATTTTAGAAAAGGTGAAAAAAAAAATCCAGTATAACTGGAAAAATCTGAATAAGGCCTGAAGATTAGATAGATTTTATATCAATGGTATTTTCCTGATTTTGACAATTTTAAGAGAATCTCCTTGTTTTTAGGAAATACACTTGCAGTACAGATTTAAGGGTAAAAACATTATGCCTATGTTCCCAAGGGTAAAGGAACTGTCCTCTTAAGTAGGTCAGAAAAAAAAAAGTATAGCCCTAACCGGTTTGACTCAGTGGGTCACAGGTTCGATTCTGGTCAAGGGCATGTACCTTGGTTGCGGGCACATCACTAGTGAGAGGTGTGGAGGTAGCTGATAGATGTTTCTCTCTCATTGATGTCTCTCTCTCTCTCTCCCTCTCCCTTCCTCTCTTTAAAAATCAATGAAATATATTTAAAAAGAAAAAGAAAAAAAAAAAATAAACACCTACTCAGGAGGGAGAGACTGATAAAGAAGAGAGAATATTAAAATGTCAACATCTGGGCCCTGCCCAGTGTGACTCAGTTGGTTGGGTATTGTCCCAGAGGTTGAGGGTTTGATTCCTAATCAGGGCTCAATCCCTGGTGGAGGGGAGAGTGTGCAGGAGGCAGCTAATGATGTATCGCTCTCACATAGATTTCTCCCTCTCCCTTCCTTTCTCTAAAAATCAATTTTAAAAAAATCTTTAAAAAAATGAACATTTGAAAAATCTGGGGAAAGAAAATTCTATAACTTTTCTGTAAGTCTGAAATTATTTAAAAAATAAAATAAAATAAAATAAATTAAAAAGAAACCCATTTCTCAAGACAATATACCTTGTTGAGATTAGTAAGAAGAGGTTAAAGTATGGCTCTAAAGTATTTCTGAAGATGAAGAAATAAAAATTGAGTTACCTGTTCTCCTCTGTAAATAACATATTCAGCTAACGCTAGGCCATTTACACTGGGTCGACCGGTGACTGAGTGATGTCCTGGAGGAGAATGTGCCATTTTCATTGCACTGAACTGCAGGAACGATTTCCCCAAGGTTACCCGGCAGAAAAGCAGCTGCCTGTAGTGGGAAAAGGAAAAGATCTTAATGAATACAAAGTAGCATATGTGCTCACTATCTAAGCTTTTTAATACTCTTATACATAAACATTTATGATTGTTTTTATCACTTCGCTCTAAATGAACTTTATAAGAATGTCTTCTACTATTCTCATTAATGAAAGAATTTTTCACTTAAATTATAAAACCTGAAAATGTAATAACTATAGATATCCAGACTAAGCCTTCCTGCTTCAGCAAAAGCACAAACCATAGCCCAAGTGGGAAGGAGGAAGAGGTTGAAGGGGCTTCCATGAAGTGGCTTGTAAAGAACATTTTTCCAATTAAGTCCAGTAAATTCTACATTCAAAATATATTTACAATCTATTCTCTTCTCTTAAATGTTCACCTGGACTATAACAATGGCCTCTGAATTAGTCTTTCTGTTTCTACTCTAATTCATGTCTAAATTATTTTCCATCCAAGCAACCAGTGATTTAGGAAAGATACAACAAAAACCAAAAAACATAAATCAGATCACATCACTTTTCTGCTTAAACCTTTTTAGAGGCTGCTCACTGTCCTTACGTGAAAATCCAAATTTCTTACAATGGACCAAATTCTCTATTCTTAATGTGTTCTCCATGACCCAGACACATTTTCTTCTTTCATATAGTTTAACTTTCTTCCCCCACAGCCATGATACATAATATGCTCTTTACTCTACCAGTAATTCTACCCCTCTTCAAATGGCTAACATTCATTTTGCAGGTTTCAGGTGAAATGTTACTTCCTCAACTAGGTCTTCCCTACAAGAAGTTTAAGTAAGTTACTATCCCACTCCCCTCAGGCATATATGATTGGCTTTCTTTAGTTCCAAAGAACCATCTCTGGTTTCTGATTTTGGTGGACAGTTGATGATTCTATTCTCCAAAGAGATATAGTCTATACTTGCTATTTAGCCTTCAGACAAAAAAAGTAAAAATAGCAGTGTTCAATTTATAGAATCTCAAGAAATTATAAGCCTTCTAACCAGTCCAATTTATGATATAAAACAGAAATGGGTGAGAAGTCATACCCAGGAGGGCTGACTTCAGACACCTACACAAAGTCTAAATTTAGGGGGAGAACAACAAGAACTAAACAAAACAGTCCCCTCTCTCTATGACTATAGTTCACCTTTGCAATCTCTCAAAATCAACTGGGAAGCCTTTAAAATCCCAGTGCCCAGATCATACCCCAGTCCAATTAAATGAGACTCTCTGAAGGTGGGACACAGGCATTCATTTTTAAAGCTTCCTGGGTGATTCCAATGTGCTGCTAAGACCGAGAATTACTGCTCTAGGTTGTTGGTTTTTTTCTTCTAGATCTGTAATCAGAAGCATCAGGAAACTTGGGAGAATTCAAGTTCTAGGACCCCACCCCAGAACTATAAAATCAGCAACTCAGAAGATAGGGCCTGTGAATCTGCATTTCATTAACCTTCTAGGTAATTCTGAAGCTTGCTAATGTTTGATAACTACTGCTCTAGGTCTTTATAAGCAGTGCCCTAACTGCAGAATAAATCTCAATGTTTGATCTTGATTTTTCAAATGGTCAAAAATTATTTACCTATCAGGAGTTTATCAATTATAGCCAAGTTATTCGAATGCTTTTAAGAACTGAGTTAGACCAGAATAACTACTTTGTACTTTCCCCTCCTTTTTCTTATTTACACTTCATGAATTTGCATGCCATCCTTACACAGGGGCTACGCTAGTCTTCTCTGATTCCAATTTCAGTATATATGCTGCTGAAGCGAGCACACAAAGTAGTTATTTAATAATAATGTGCTTTCTATAGGATTGATGTGTTTTATTATAACTTTTCAAGTAGTAATATTATAAATTGAAGATTATGAGCATATCATAATGGAAGAGAGACTTCATTATGCATTGCCATGAAATAATTAGGCTTGGCAAGTAGTACCATTTAGCATGTGAATACTAGAATTTTTAGAGTTCATAGTCCCACAATATTCAAGAGCCACAATAAAATCTCTTTCATGCCCAATGATATGTTCTTCTCCATATTCTTTAAAACACCAAATGTACTAATAATTAAATGAGTTAAACAGATCAAGTGCTTAGAACTGTGATTGGCCCATAAAGTTCACCTACACTTGCACCCCAAAATTTTCAATATGGAACCAGTTCTAATCTGATTCTTATAAAAATGAGAACAAGTGATCTCTTACCTGTGGCAAATGTAACAAGATCTGTCTTTGTGAACTGGACACCCAGTACCTCCTCCAATTCCATATACATACTGATTGCTTTTAGAAGAGTTTTCAGCAAAATAAATCCCAGCTCCGAACATGCCACCTATGTAGGCATGTCTTTCATCAAAGCCTTTATGGATAATTGCATTCACAAAGGGAGAGCCTAAAACACATACAGATGAATAATAATTTTATCTTAAAAGAAAAAGATCAAAAACTAAAGCTTCTTAGAAGTTAAACTCTTAAATATACATACACAACTACAATATAGCAAAATCATAAAACAAGGACAAGTTAACTGTCTGCCGATTCACTACTTTAGAATAATTATTTTAGAGGAATTACAAGTCAATCAATGTTCTAACAGGGTGGAAGTAGTTGATCTGGTAAAATCAAGACATACATATTCAACTAGAATAACAAACAGATCACTTGAAATATAAATGCTAGAGTTATCAAATTCCAGACCCTAAATCTATGCAAATCAGAACCAATAATTTTATAATTCACCTCATATAGCAAAGATGAGTTCATTAGGTCTTAGAATGACACCCATGTCTATGTACGTTTTTTAGATATCAAAAGTAACCAAAGTGATCTTTTTAATGTCCATTCTCTTCTTTATACCTTGTTTTTCCTATATTTCCAATGCTCTGCCTTTCACCACCAAAGCTGCTTTAACAGATTCCATCTGCAAAAGAGGTGTGCCTTCATTCCCTGCACATTGACTTCTTTCTCCTTCTTCCTTGCACGTGTGCAAAGACAGGAGCTTAGCCAAAGGGGAGGAACTGAGCATGGGAACTGGGCCAGGGAGTGAAGTCAGGATGGGAGCTGGGAAAAGCCAATATAAAATAGCTAACTGATTCATCAACATCAGTGTCCCTTTCATTAAGGGATAGAAAAATACAATGAATTCCACTTTACAGAAACACCGAAGAACAGAATCACTTATTTGGGATATGAATAACTAAAACCATTTATTAAGTCAATACGTAAATATTTTGCTCTGTGCCAAGATATTATCATGATGATTTTTAGGTTTTGGAATGAGAAATACCATTTAGATATTATACACCATTTTAAAGTGCTATAGACATTCTTCCAGAGATCATCAAATTTAAATGGTGTGCTTTATAGAACCTGGCAGGTCTCTAGAAATTTTCTGCAATCAAGGCCAAATGAAGGAAAAGAATGAAGCTACTATATAGGGTAATGTGCTTGAAGATTTGCTAAATATTGCAATTTCTCAGAATGATCATAAAAGAAAATATTATATAAAGAAAAAAAGGCCCTAGCTGGTTTGGCTCAGTGTATCGGCCTGCAGACTCAAGGGTCCTGGATTCGATTCCAGTCAAAGGCACGTGCCCCGGTTGGGAGCTCAGCCCCGGGAGGGAGCATGCAGGAGGCAGCCAATCAATGACTCCCTTTCATCATCAATGTTTCTATCTCTTGCTTCCTCTCCAAAATCAATTAAAAATAAATAAATATATATATAGAAAAAGAAACTAGGACTTAAAAAAAGGGAAAATATGAATTGTTAACATTCCCATTTCTGTATTTTTCCCATTATGGCAATCTTATTTATATAAGCTATCCATTGGAAAATATACAAATTCAAAAGAGGTTGAAAATACGAATATAGCCCAGCCTGCATGACTCAGTAGTTGAGCGTCAACCTATGAACTAGGAGGTCTGGTTTGAATCCGGTCAGGCTCAATCTCCAGTGGGGTTGTGAAGGAGGCAGCTAATCAATAATTCTCTCATCACTGATGTTTCTATCTCTCTCCCCCTCCTCTCTGGTATTAATGAAAAACAAACACAAAACAACAACAACAAAAGAAAAAAATGAATATAAATATAAAATTTACAGAAATAATCTTTTAAAATGACAAGACTATATAGATTCATTACTATCTCATACTTAACAAAAAGCTATTCTAATGTGGGGAATGGAGGTAAGGTTGGAGGAGAGCAATCTTACCATGAAATAGCATTCTTTCATTTGCATGGTTGTGGTTTTCTTCGGAAACTTCTTTTCTCCTGTGAGTATACCTTTCCCATAGTTTCTTGTTACAAACTTTCTGAATCTATAAAAAAGGAACCAGAAAAGAACATCTTTAGCTCATAATAATTACTTACTTTCTTGCTTATCTTAATCAGAAATGGGCCACATAGCCAAAAGAGGCAAGACTTTTCTCTAAAATGTGAACTATGTTATTTTAATTAATTAAAAATGGAAATATAGATACAATTTGGAACCTGAAAACTTCAAAAGGAAAAAAGCTATATAGGCCAATAATACCATTAATTGATTAATATACTTTCATTCTCATAATTTACAATTATTACTAAATATCTCCAACTCAGATTTTTCTGTATATAAGTATTAAAAAGATAATATTTTTTCCCGTTTTACCTGTTTTTAATTAAAATATTTTACATAGCACACACCAATAAACATTCTTAAAATACACACACACATATCCTCTATTATTCCTTCTATCTTTTCCTGGCCCTCCAATTCCTAATATTTTTGTCTGGAGAAGAGTTTGAGATGAATGCTAGCCTCATTTGGAGTATTTACAAGGTCAAATTTCACAATCCTCGAGCTGTTTCTCAGCTATAGCCCCTGCTGGTCTTAGAGCACATCTGGAAGCTGGTTTTAGTTCTGAATCAAAATAAGTCAATATACCGCCACAAACAAAATCGAGAAACACAACAGGCACAAGGGAATCTTATTTAGGTTAAAAAAAAAAAAAAAAAAAAAAAGTAACACAATTAAAAGTCTTACCATTGGAAAAAAAAGTTTCATTACATATTGCATTAAAATATATTATAGAGGAAAAAACAGCTTTCTCAAATTCAACTACTAGCATACCTCAGAGATATGGTAGATTCATTTCCAGACCATCACAATAAAGCAAGTATCACAAAAAAGAGAGTTGTTACATTTTTGGTGGAGGGTCTGGCCTTCAACTTGCAAAATTTGTGAAGCTCAATAAAGTAAAGTGCAATAAAGCGAGATGTGCCTGCATTTTGGATATCAAACCTATGTTCTCTCTCCTGCCCTTACCTTTAACAACTGCTTATTACTGTTTGCAGACAAAGTACACTTGACTGAAAATTTGCTTGTAATAGGCATAATTATTTGTTGTATTAAAAATTATTATATGTGGCCAAAATCGGTTTGGCTCAGTGGTAGAACGTCGGTCTGCGGACTGAAAGGTCCCAGGTTTGATTCTGGTCAGGGGCATGTACATTGGTTGTGGGCACATCCCCAGTAGGGGGTGTGCAGGAGGCAGCTGGTTGATGTTTCTCTCTCATCGATATTTCTAGCTATCTCTCTCCCTTCCTCTCTGTAAAAAATAAATAAATAAATAAATAAATAAAAAAAAAAACAATAAAATATATATTAAAAAATTATTATGTGTCCATGAATGGAAATACCAAGATGTCATTCTTATGTCATCTTATATAATAATAATAAAAGCCTAATATGTTAAGTGACTAACTGTTTGACCAGTTGCTATGATGCACACTGACCACCAGGAGGTAGATGCTCTGACCAGTAGGTTAGCGTGTTGCTAGGGTCCGGCTGATCAGGACTGGGTAAGATGAGTCGGATACGCCCTGGGGCCCTCCCGCGGTCCCACTGGCTGGCCTGCACCCTCTCGACTCCGTGACCTCTTGGGGGATGTCATAGAGCTAGTTTCGGCCCAATCCCTGCAGGCCAGGCCGAGGGACCCCACTGGTGCACAAATCCATTCACTAGGCCTCTAGTACTATGATAAAAACTAACAAAAAACCTTAGTCCCAACCCTGGCCAGTCCTGGGTTTGATTCCAGACAAGGGCACATGTCATACCTTGGTTGCAGGCAACCAATCGATGTGCCTACTTCTCTCTGTCTCTCCCCCGCCCTTCCACTCTCTAAAAATCCATGGGAAAAAAATATTCTCAATTGAGGATTAACAAAAAATAAATAAAAAAAAATAAAGGAATACACAGAAATATGATCCTTTACTTGAATAATGCATTTGTTTTATTTTTTTAATATATTTTATTGATTTTTTTACAGAGAGGAAGGGAGAGAGATAGAGAGCTAGAAACATCGATGAGAGAGAAACATCAACCAGCTGCCTCTTGCACACCCCCTATCGAGGATGTGCCCGCAACCAATGTACATGCCCTTGACCGGAATCGAACCCGGGACCTTTCAGTCTGTAGACCGACGCTCTACCACTGAGCCAAACCAGCTTCGGCTGTTTTAAATAATCTAATTTCTAATGGTATGAGCACAGCAACCTCAAATGTATAGTTTTAGTATTCACTAACTCTAAAATACAGCATCTAATATTATACTCACAATATAGTATATACCGTATTTTTCGGACCATAAGACGCACTTTTTTCCCCCCAGAAGTGGGGGGAAAAAGTCCCTGCGTCTTATGGTCCAAATATAGCCTACACATATACTTTAAAAAAAAAGTTTTTTTACTTGCCCGGCTCTGTGTGGTCTCTGTGTGCTTGCCCGGCTCTAAAATGGT